GGGTTTGAACCGCCAGCCTTCTGGTTAGCAGTCAAGTGTCTTAGCCACTATGCTACCAGAGCTCCTTTGGTATAATGTAAGCATAAGGAATTCTGGTGGCGTAGTGGGTAAGGCATTTGGCTGCTAACCAGAAGGTCAATGGTTCAAGCCCATCAACTGCTCTGCAGGAGGAAGATGAAACAATCTACTTCCAAAAAGATTTATAGCCTTGGAAACCCAAGGAGGGTTGCTATGTGTTGGACTTTACTCTGTGGAAATGGGTTTTTGTTTGTTTGTTTTTGTTCTTAAATAATGCAGACTGCGAAAAGGACATGGAGGCAGCATCTTCTGACCTCCTCTAACTTCACAAGGGGAAGACAGAATCACCATCAGCAGCCCAAGGCTTATTCCTATGAGGCCAGACATGCCACCACCTTTCAGCCTTTTACTAATTCTGACACCAACCATCTCTCCCATGGCACTCACTACTTCACTGCTGGATTCAATAATTCATTGCAATGGCCACACAGAACTCACAGACAATATTCACAATTGTGGGGTAGGGAAGTAATAGGCTACAATTCAGGTTCAGGAATACGCTCAGGGTACCAATCTTTGATCAGGACAGTCTCCCCTCTGCTGTGCCCTTAGCCCACCACTCTGTGTTGCACCTCTTGGTTCCACTGTAAGCATCTCTCTGCCGGGGGTCTCTCTCTGCTGGGGCATCTCTCTTTGCCAGCATATCTCTCTCTCCCGAGCATCTCTGCCAAGGAGGTCCAGCATAGGGATCTCAGGTCCAAGGATGTGCTCCAATCTACCTCCAGCTCTTCTCTCTTGATGGCAATGAGATTCTCACCCCATCCCCGCCCCCCACCTCTAGGAAGGCTCATTTTAAGTCTGGCAGAATGACAAAACTAACCTATCCCAACATCAGAGTTCTACACACCTTATTTGAATGGTTGGTCCCACTCGGTAATCAGGTGGAAGTCATAAAGACTATGGCTAGAAACCCATACCAAGTAATTTACCGCACCACAAGCTACCCCTGGCTTTTCTAGCCATTATCCTTTTTATACTTCAAAAATTAACATGGCCTTCACAAGGAGATGTGCTTAAGAATAAGCATAACCATGAAAGCATGTAAACCAGCCACTTCATGCCTTTATCTGCTCCCATTTTAAATAACCAATTTCCAATTTGTCCATCCCTTCAAACCAGCACTCTGAGGAAATAAGCACGTTCCTTTCTGTCTAAAGAATCTTCTGTTCCAGTTGGAGTTTTGAGCTTCTGCATCCATAAGCAAGTCCAGCCCAGCACAAGCCATCAAACTGCAGCAATTCAACACCAGCTCAGTGTCAAAACATCTTCTCCTTCATTTGGTTGGGTTTCTGGTCAGCTAAGGCCATCGGTTCAAACCCATCAGCCACTCCTCGGAAGGAAGGTTGGGCAATCCTACTTCCGTAGTGATACTGCCTCGGAAACCCAAGGAGGGGTCGCTATGAGT